ATAAATGCATATTGTTTACATGTTTGTGCACTGTCCAGATGCCCTCCTGCAGCAGAACACAGCCCCACGCTCGCTCCCTCTGTGCTACAGTTTAGTTTGATCACGATCTGTACAAAAGCTGCTAATTCACACAAAGACCTTCACAGCACTATCCTAAAGTGTGTTTTGTTTACAATGATTGCACGGTATTGCTCATGGTGTGGCTCCTCCTTCTACAAGCGCAGGTCGTGCAGTCACCCTCCCCATGTGTGAATAGTTTAATCAACGTCTGTACGCAAATCAGAAACATTTATATGATAATAAACGTATACCATAATTTGTGAACCTTTTGGGATCAAATGCAGTGGACACCTGTGAGTTGAGAATGTGAGCAGTCAGCAGTAGCAGCAGTTTAAGCTTGTACCTCAGGTGAGAGACACGGGACAGGTAAGAGTGTCCACAGGCGGGAGCGGGTGCAACCAGGGAAAGAGAGATCAGCGGGTCTGATGTGGGATGGGGAGCGCACAAGAAAGACACCAGTCTACTGTGTAATGCGAGACAAAAGACTGGAGGAATGCAGAGAAACTATAGTTGACGTGAGTGTGTGCGCACGGGCTTACGTGAGAGGGGGTCATGAAACACAAGCCCAGCCAGTTCTGTGACTGCCCATCCAAAATTCTTTAATCCTAGCACCTCTACTGGCGCATACCTCATGGAGCTCCGGAGATGCTTTTTGTACCAATATATATATATTTTATTTTTTCCCCACACCCCTCTGCTGCACGCATCACCCACACTGGCAGTAATTTTAAATGTTACAGCGGTGACAGATTGGTTCAGATGCCATCACCATAAACATACCTGTACTGTCCCAGCCCAGCCCCCAGCAGCCAAGTACAGCCTGACCTGCACACGCCCACTCGTTAACACTTGCACTTACACAAAGACTGGTGGCAAAATAGAGTCCAAAATGTTGCGTCCTCATCAAAAACATACCTGGAGTTGTGTTTTGTTTCATTCATACAGGTTTAACAAACAAATCCTGTATATTTAGTCTGAATTCTTCTCTCAAACAGAAAACACTCTTCCACCTTGTGATGTCACACTGTGTTTTTAAACTCCTTGCACCTTAAATAGAATCATTTTGATAATTTTACTCAGACATGTGCAAATGAAACAAAACACCACATTGACAACACTCTGAAATTACTTTAAGCTCACAAGAGTCAAATTTGCATAATACAGGACCTTTAATACTTTTTTTTTCTTTATTTAACCTTTATTTTACCAGGAAGTCCCTTGGGACAAAAGTTATTTTTCAAGGGAGACCAGGCCAAGAGGCAGACATAGTGAAACAGAGTAAGAATAGCATCTGCTCATTTCAGTTAAACTCTTCAGGGGAATCAGTTCCTGTAGCTGCAGAAAGTTGAGGTGAAAAGGAAGGGAAAAAAAATTACCTAGTTTTTATATTCCCTAGTATTTAATTGTAAGAAATTTGTCTTAGTTTCAAGTTTGGATAAAAATATGGTGGTTTTCCCCCCAGTTTCCATTTTCGCCCATTAGCCTAAAACACACACAATAGACAGATTTTTCAATGAAGTGCACTACTCCCAGCCAAGCTCTGCAGATGGGCCCTGTGTGTTGTACTTGAGGCTGAAAGCAGAGGACACATTTCACTGGGGACAATGAAGTATCAAAACATCCATCTTGTTTCATCTTATGGTCAGACAAAGTTACTGACGTTGCAAATCCAAAACAAAAACACACAAAACCTGCTTGGACGTTCTCCAAGCTTCAACTGTACGGTTCAGTGGTTACCGACAGTGATGGAATGTAACAAAGTAAAAGTAGTAAAGTACTGCATTTATTTAGCAGTAGAAGTAGTATGTATAAGTGTATACATTTTAGGTATCTGTACTTAAGTGAATTTAAAAAGTAGATTCTTTTTACTTTTACTTTTCTACTCCACTACATTTTTGAACTGGACTGAAAAGTAAAAGTATTTTTTATTATAGTTTGAGACCTGCATGAATTAAATTGTTTCTGTTGAACAAAATTCAACTCAAATATGTATCAAAATAACTACATTTGAAGCATTACAGGTCCTACAAATAACCGCAAAATACTTTTACTTTAGATTTTTTTCATGTGATACTTACTTTAACTTGGTTATTTCTTTACTCCGGTATCAGTACTCTTACTACAAATTCCACATACCCTTAACTAGAATTAAGTTTTGAATAATTATTAGCAAATAATCTAGTACAGCATCTGTTAATAGCATTTCATTTTCTTGTTTTAAATACAGATGTCCAAACCATCTTAAAATGTTGATGATGACAAATTTACAACAAAGAAAAGTTCATATTCAAGTCATGTCTTTTAATGTCAAATCATCAATGTCCAAATATTCCCTGGTTAGTACTCCCTACCTGAGTTTTACTGTCTTAAAAACAGGAAATACTGAAGTGGTTTTCAGCCATTTGTAGCAGTCCAAAATTATTCTTCACTTTCTTAATGCATTCGCAGCATCCTAATTATTCACCACAAAGTGCTTTTCACAATTTTCAGAGGCCAGAGTACCAGAGTGTAAAAGCCAAAATCAACTAGTATACTAACAGTACACTTCCTGACTCCCTGGTTGAGAAAAACACAGCACTATCACCACTTATATGTAACAGCACACAGATCAATACTATGCAAATGACGTATGAGGTTGCCATGTCTGAACGATTCTCTGTGGCAAAGATGACGAGGAAGATGATTGATGTTTGTGGTTGTGGGTGCGTCATTGCTTGATCTGTGGGCTCTCTGTATACTGTGTTATGGCATCTCCTCATGGGGTGTCACATGTGAGCCGATCAAATTATCCACCCTGTCCTTCCTCGTCAGATCAGCGGAGTTCGTTGGGAGCAGTGACGGATGACTGAAGCGCGGAGAGAAGTGAGGCCAGAGCGAAAAGTGATTATTCCCCAATGTAAACATGGCACTTTGCTGATATGAAGCAGATTCACATTGACGTATGTTCATTGTCTGTGATTGTGGTGGTGAAAAATGCATTCGGTGACGTCTGGACATTGACGTCAGATCCTGTTAGCGAACTTGTCATTATGGTTTAATAGATCTTTTCAGACAAATGGTGAAGAGGAATGGAATTTTCCAGGATGCTAATAATACACTGTCAGACACAAGTTTGGACACACTTCTTCAATCAATTCAATGATTTTCTTTATGTTTAATGTCTACAGTGTAGATGGAGACATCTTATGACACCTAATATGTGAACTAACTCCAAGTATCTAAGTATCTATGTAGTAGTTAATTTGGATTGATCAAAGGAGCCACCATATGCTTTTCTCAGAGAGCTTCAAGATGAATTTACTTAAAATGGTATTCTCTTCACAGGTGTACTGGGTCAGGGTTCATAAGTGGGATGCCAAAAGTGGGCAAAGCAGCGATCAAAGCAAAGTGAACCTGTTTTTGAAGAATCTATAATAAAACATGAGTAATTTTGCTCTCTTGTGTTGACTACAACCCATGTGTTGGTCTAGATTGATGCCTTCAACACGTCATGAAAATACATTAAGCAAGACCTTCCTGTAAACAAGTGTGTCTGATCTTTTGACTGGTTTAGTTCCAGGAATTGATTATAATCTGCATTTGTGAAAGTTTCCTCAGGGTAACAGAAGATTATCACATTTCTATTACTGTACTTCTAAAACTCATTAAATGTGCATTATGTAACGTTTATGATGAAAGGTCCAGGGACCCATTACCCAATTCAAGGCCAGGCTTAGTCACAATGTCTTAGAGTCAAGTATGTCTGTGTTAGTCTGATGGGGGATACAGGTGTACCCAGAGGAAACACAGTCCCAAGAACAGCAAAAAAAACTCCACCCAGAAAGACCCCATCCAGTGTCAGAATCAAACCCAAGACCTTCTTGCCTTGATACGTGTATATCTCTCATGTATCAGAAAGAAAATTACCTAAACTACACACTAAAAATATACACTCACTTATATATATATATAAAAGAGAGGGAAAAACACTAAATAAAATTGATGTGAGAACATTTTGACCTCGATCCCCTCATCCAACAAATTCAAGTGAGCTTGTCTCTGTTAATATCAAAGACAACTATTATCGGAGCAGCTACTTCTTTGAAACAGCATGGTGCATTTACAAACATGTTGACTAGCAAACACACCCCGGGCAATGAATAACTGTATTAAAGTCATATCCTCCTTTGAAATCCCATTTGTAAGTGTATGTAAATTAACTGCTTTGCTGTTTACAGCTTATGTCTTTAATGGAAAGTCATGACATATGGACTAATACAAGCTTAAACACTCTTTGAATTTAGGATTAAACTGTAACATAGATCTTTATTTAACCTTTTTCACAGTTTTCACCCCAGTATTGGTCTAAAAATGATTAATAATAGAAACAGGTCCACTGACTTGACTTGCAGAAGACAGGTCACACCTCTTTAAAGCAACTTTCGCTTTACCTTATACCCTACATGTAGAAATTGGTGTCTGAAATGACTGAAATATTGCAATAATTGAAGGCACTGTACTTGATTTTTATAGTTTTAGAAATGTGAAAACACAACAGAGCAAAGTGGAGAGGAGTTTTGCAAAGATAGAGGAGCTAATAACAGCTAGCATGCTAACGTGCACTTCCTCATTATCAATAAAATGTGACAATAAAATGTTTTTTAATTAGACTTATACAATATATTTATAGTGGTACAAAACAACCTTTGCTCAAATACATATGTGAATAAAATCTGGTACAAAACCTTTAAGGGGCAGTGGGCGGAGATACGGGGTAGGTGAAAACTGAAATTTTCTGAACACTCGAGCCTCAAATGCAGGACAATACAGGAGCACTCAATATTCATGAATCACTCTCAGTATAAACTCTATATAAATAAATAAGATAATGACAAAGGAACACCACTATAACATGCATAATTAACTCAGAGTAAAGTAAAGAGTCCCCCATGAGATCTTACCTTCCCGACATACAGTGGCTCCGTGCCGGTGTATTCCTCCACTACAAAGAACTGATTCCAGACCCATCCTCTTTTGACCCGGTCCCCTGGCTTGGTTGAAGTTGCAGTACTAGTCCTTGCGGTTTGACCCCAGCTATGTCTAAGGCAGCATAAACAACTCACTGCCGCCAGTAGGGTCCATACTCCAGTTCTCCACATGATGAACGAAAATGTACAGTGAAGAATAAAAATCCGAGTGCAATCTCCAAAAAAAAAAACGGAAAAACTTTGAAAAAAAAACCAAAGTTGGATTAATCCATTAGTTGGGAAGCAGTTTCTTTGTTGGTCATAGACACTTGAGAATGCCAGCACAACTGAGTAATAATGATTGGTTGATCATATTGAGAAAATACAAATGTAATTAATATACTGCAACAACTCTGGCAAACAATTCATAAAATATCAAAATTCTCTGGTTTGAAGTCATAGTTGAAATTCAAGCCAAATTCCTCAAAATTAGAATATATATTTTTAACAAATGCACAAATATTATATGATTTTCAGCTGGTATTTCCGATGTCTAGTCCAATGTTTTCACTATCTTTTAAAATAAACTCAGAAATCTAGTCTGAATTTAGGTCCTTAGGCGAAATCCTTGAAGTAAATTGATTTTACAAATGGACTCCTGAAGCTGTGTTTTCCATCCACAGTAATCCATTTTTGATGCAGAACATTCAGTCTTCCTGTGTTTAGACTTCCTTTATTTTGGGTCCGCTCAGCCTCGGGAGTCACAGAAAGTTTCTGTGTCCAACCTGTAAGAGAGAAAAGAAAGATGATGTTAAATTACAGCATTATAGGATCCTTACAAAATAAATCTATTCCCATTTTAGTGTAAATGCTTCTGCTGTGTGCTAAAGTAGGAGTTGTGAGAGAGAAAAACATATGAAAACGTAATATGGAAATTAGCAAATGCCATAGAAATTCCCCTGATAATCTCTCAACATAAAGGCCCAAGAATATATATACAAAATAAATAAATAAATAAACATACAGTATATACATGGATACCCTACATCCAAACAAAAATAAGGTAAGGTGGTACATGTCCCTGTAGAGATATTTGTGCTTTTACCTATACAATATTTTGTTTACTTACAAAATGTTCGATTTTAACTAAAGACTCCAGTTTCTTTTCAAACATGTGACCTTGGATTATTTGTCTTACAAAAACTCTTCTTTTCTTTACTTCTTGCAAGAGAATTATTTATTTACTGGAATATATTTTGTTTGGAAAATTCTCCTCAGCCATAATCTACACAAATCAACTTAAACATTGTACACAAAATGGATTCTTGTGAGCTTTGTTAGGCATCTCCAAAATTCACAATGTTCTGTTCCACCTTGTGATGTCATAAAGCTGTCATTTTCATGTTAACAGCTACTTTAGACTACGAATCCATGTATGACCGTATCACCGTATCGGAAACGATCTGCGTCTAGACATGTCGTTTCTGTGTCCGCAAACCTTCCCTATCCACACAGCTTTGAGCATATTTGTTTACATTTTACAGAAACAAAACTTATAACCGCATGACTAATTTGCATAAAGTAAGCGCTCAAAAAACAGCTCACTATTGTGCACTCATTTGGTTCAGCTTCTGTCGGACTAAAGGACACGACTCAGAGGAATATCTGTGTTCTTTCTATGACAGTGGGGTGTTCTGCTGATGGTGAGTCTGTTCTGTGCTTCTATCCCGTTGGATATGGTTCATGTTAAACTTTTCAGAGATTATACATCTGCAGGTCGTATGCATAGACTGTATATATGAATGGACATATATTCTAGCCTCTTGATGAATTACTTCACGGCACATAGACCTACATCTGCGTATCAGCGTTTTCAAGCGTCCACACAGTGCCGGATCAGATCCATAGTCAGAGGAATTTGTGGGAGCTGGTGGCACCAGATTGTTTCCGTCTCTGGAGCCATTTTCCATCAGATTAGTGTGGACGAACACTGCATCCACAACGAAAACGACTCAAATACGTGCTAGTGTGGACGGGGCCTTAGTTCACCTTTAGTTTAGGAGAGGTTGGCAATACAATGGCTGAAATCACCCAAATGATTCTAGTGAGGGTGTATGGACACTGTGGAGCTCTTCCTGTATTACGAAACATCACAAGGTGGAACAGTGTGTTTTCTGTTTGAGCGGAGAAACAAAATATAGCTATGTTTTTGATGAGGAAATAACATTATAAACACACATCAGAAAACAGTGTAAAACTAACTTTAAAAACTTCACAGTTGGCCAAAGTGCTGTACACAAACACAGGATAGACAAGGACAATCGCAGTACAACACAATACACAATACAAACCCAATACAACTACTACTAAAAAAAGAAAACTATAAGATACTCAACAACAAGAAATGTACATCTCACTTGTTAAAAGCCAGTGAAAAAAAACATGTACAGATTCCGCCTGTCTAAATATTATATAAGCCCTTTAAAGTAGTTGTTTTTTTCTAGTGCAACATATTTTCACAGGAATTGTATAAACTACTCATTAATATATATAACATTTCCTGTAACTATGTATCTCCGCACACAGAATCAAAACCTGAGTAAAGAAGAGTGAGAGAGGTCATTGTTCCCCACACGTCTGCCTGTCTCCAGTCCCACTGACGGAGCAGCCCCAGTCCCAGCCTCTGCCAGCTGATTAACTGCATGAGGGAGCAGTAATTGGATAAAAGCATTAATCAATTAATTCTATCCATCGGGGCGACGAGGGCCTAATACTATGGGCAAACATTGACAGACAACATGGGAGGGGCCAAGACACGACCCTGTGGTGTCTGAGCCGTGCAGAGGTTAGACCAAGAGATAGCAACGAGGACACCGGGTAAATAATGGTAAGAAACGTGTTGAAAGATAAAGGCTAGAATAATCTATCCGTTTAAAAGGTCGGGTACAAGGTAATGTTGACTTAAACCAACTTTTAACTAAGCTATATTGACTCATTCTCATCACAGTTATGACATAAGCTTCACTATAAAAATATATTTGCTGCCATTATGTACATAGTAGGGATGCAACAATAACCCAAATATTGTGATATCGTATCGTGAAAGTTCTCACAATAATATTATGGACCATCACAACATATCGAATTACAAGTCTCTTTGCTTAAATTAAGAGTTATGGTGCAGAGATAGCTCAAAAAAGACAGAAGAAACTACATAAACCATGATCCTTTGCTCCATTTCAGTGTAGAATACAAGAAGAAATAATAGTTCTAAGCACTTTTAAGTCTTAGTTCTTTGGATTAAGTCTTGTCAAGAAATTTTAAGAGGAAAAGTAGCATATTCACAGTTTTGTTAGCCTCCACAAAATATCGCAGTAAATATCGTACCTTGATGATATCGTATTGTGAGACTTGGATATCATTACACCCTTAGTACATGTGTAAACATTCTGTCCCCATGCTGGCTGTAGAAAGTGTCCAATAAAGTGATCAAATGAAAACTCTAAATACAGCCCCAAAGAGTCTGTTAAGGTCTAATAAATATAGATTCAAAATTATCAAAATATTTTCAAAGGTATGAACAGAAGTAGCAAAAATGTTAGTTATAACAACAATCCCACACACCATTCAACATAATAATGTAGAATATTGCCTGCGGTTTTCTCTCATTATAAATATGTTGTCCTTCAAATTACAATAACTTCAAATGATCTTTCATACATTAAATTCCAACAGTTACTCTTTAGGTTTGACAAGCAAATAAACACAGTGGTTAAATCCAGTTTTTATCACCTGCGGCCTTTATCCAGACTCAAATTGGTTTCATGTTTTAGTGATTTGGAGCGGGTGATCCACGCTTTTATGTCTACACGTCTTGACTACTGTAATGCGCTGCACACTGGTATCAGCCGAGCAAACCTGTCACTCGCACGTCTTTTAAGCGGCACACATCGTAGAGAACACATTACACCTATTTTATCCTCATTGCACCGGCTTCCCATTTATTTTAGAGTTAACTTTAAAATGTTATTGCTTGTTTTTAAAGCACTTCATAGACTGGCCCCAGTGTACATTTCAGACCTCATTGTTCGTACATTCTGAGGTCTGAGGGCCAGCTCCAACTTGTCGTCCCAAAAATGAGACTCAAAAGCCGGGCGACCCTGCGATGACCCTGGGGTAACCGGGCCTTTTCTGTGTTTGGCCCCAAACTTTGGACCACTCTTCCCCCTCACATTAACAGCGCCCCTTCAGTCGAATCTTTTAAGTCTCGTTTAAAAACACACTTTTACTCACTGGCTTTTAACACGGCGTGAGAACTTTCTGGTCCTCTGACTGTCTTTTATTGATTATTCTATTTTTCTATTTGCTAATTTTAATATTGTTTATGTTTTTTATTGACTTGCTTATTTACTTATTTTATGCTTTATTTTATTTAATGTGTTAATTTATATTGTGCAAATACAAATAAAGATGGATTGGACTGGATTGGATTAAGTTACTCTTACTTGAGAAGTAGTTTTCCCAAATACTTTTTTTTTTTTTACTCTTACTTAAGTAATTCTAGTATTATTTTCTCATGATGTTACTTTTACTTGTGTAGAATGTCGCTCTCTCTCCACCTCTGGTAATACATAAAAACATAGTCAGTGTTATTGTTCTGACTGGAAGAACTTGAGTTGCTGCAGTGTTGGTGGAGCATATAAGCCATGCTATAAGCCAGCAGGTGGTTTAACCTATTGTATTTCTGCCGACCGAGGGAACACTTCTAATCTCTCTCGCTCTGCGTGCCCACTAGCATGCTCGCAGCTTCCGGAAATAATTCCTCCTCAGACTGTTGGCCGAGGCAGAGTCCGTGGTATTGGAAAGTCAGCGCTGTGGGCTGTGCACTCTCCTGAGCATACAGCAGAAGAGGAGCGCCTGCAGGAGAGACGAGTGTGGGCTCTGGGTACACACTGGCAGCACAACACAATAGAAAGTGCAATTCATGCTAAGTTAAGAAGCACGGTAAGGCTACGGAAAAGTGTAGTAATGAAACAGAACTATACAAATGTGATCAGAATCTGAATCAGATTTATTGCCATTGTCAGTGAAGAAAATCCATAAGGGCATGCATTAAAATAAGACAAATGAATATAGACATTGATAGACAAATACAAGATATACAATATGGGCAGAACAATGATGCAAAGCTA